AAGATGTATGACACCTCAATGGAGGAAAATTATAAAGCTTGATTGAAAGACTTTTAAAAAGTCTGAAACAGATTAAAACATATGTCATGTTTATGGTTAGAAAGATTCATTGTCATATGTCAGTTTTTCCCAAAATTATCTATTATTTGATGCAATTCTAATAAAATTTTCAACAAGTTTTTAATGGGACTTGATGCAGTTGATTTTAAAATATATGGAAAAGAGTGCTCAGGAATAACTCAGACACTTATGAGAAAGAACACAAAGATTGGAAGTATTGCCCTACCAGATATTAAGACCTCTTAAAAACAATAATTAGGGTAGTCTGCAGAAGTAGACAAACTAAAGAAACAGAAGGAGAGCCCAGAAGTCAACCCACACATATATGCAAACTTTAGAAATGACTGAAATAGGATTAAAAACCAGTGGAGAAGGATGGATATATAACCATAGTCAGTTTTGACCCTTTAATAGTTTTTATTTGTTCCATAGAGATTGTTCTAAGAAGTGTGCTAGACACTGGGGATATGGGGTATAGGACCTCACAAGATGGTGGGAGAATTAGAAGAGTAAACAGACAGTTGCCATCAGGTACAAGTTCTGTATCTGGAGCCTGGCACTTCTAATTCTCCTCCATGAACTTACTAAGTTATATGCAAAATTGCATATATAGTAGTTTTTCTGGATTAATGTTCATCAGATTCTCAAAGAGGTCCTTGGCTCCTAAATGATGAAAAGTCACTGAATTCTTGACCATTTTATGGTACATTTGATTACTGAGAGGTACATTGGGTATTATGGAATCACCAAAGAATGCCATCAAACAAAGCTTGGGGTGGAGAGGGAGTTGGGGAAACAAGAATGTCTTCTTAAAGAGTTAATGTGATAGCTGAATATGGAAGAGTACAGTTAATTTATTCTGACAACAGAGAGAAAGCAGGATTCTAGGCCAAGAGAAACAGCGTGTTTGAAGCATGGAGGCAGAGTTGGATTACGTAGGGAACTGCAACTATAAGTGGGTGTGGGTGTACAAACAGTTTGCACTCGGCTACTGACCGAAAGGTTGGCAGTTTGAATCCACCCAGTGGCATCGTAGAAGAAAGACCTGCTGATCTGCTTCTGTAAGATTACAACCAAGAAAATCCTGTGGAGCACAGTTCTACTCTGAAGCACATGGAGTCACCATGAGTCGGAATTGACTTGACGACAATGGTTTGATTTTTGGTTTAGTTATAAGGGGAAGATAGAGATATGATGAGAAATGAGGCTGGAAAGTTAAGCAACCACCAAATATTGCAGGGGGTTCTCTTCTGTACTAAAGATATTTCCACTTTTGAGGAAGTAGCTAGTAGTAAATTAACATGCTTTGGATGCAGTTGGTGGAAAGGTTGAGGTAGGTGGAGTCTAGGGAGTCTCGCAAATTTCTGGCCTAGGTTGGTGCCATTCATCACAGTAAAGAACTTATTAGCAAGAATGGTTTATTTTGCTATTAGTAGTTATTGTTGTTCGGGTGGTGGTAGGAGGAGGAAATGAAACATGTTATGGTTGCCCTTCCTGTGACAGAATATCCAAGGGGAAATGCTTTTAATAGGCTCCATTTTATATGTTTATATCATATGTTTTATATATGTGGCTGTTGATAAACATTGATAGTTATTGGAATATAGGCAGTAATTTGAAGCTATGGGAAGGATGAATGTTGAAGAATTGGATCTGGTGGGCAGCAGAGCCATGGGACATGAAAAGAGATGTTGTTTACGGACTTGGGCTGGGGGCTACATGCAAAGTAGTGGTCAGGGGCTCCACTACAAATTCATCTTGTGATCTTTCCTCCCCTTTCTATTATCCCTGCCAGCACAAAGTCCAACCTGGTAGCCTCAGGTACCATTGACTCAAGGGAATAGAGAAAGAAAATTATAGGTAATGAAGCAGAGCCAAAACCTGTTGCTGTTGAGTTGATTCCGACTCAGAGAAGATATATTCCTTTGGGCACAGGGTGGGGGCATTGGAAGAGGATAGCCCAAGTAGGAAACAAAAGACTTGAGTCCCCGTCTCACCTATTCTAGTAAAAGCTGAGTGACCTTGAGCAAGTCCTTTCTCTTTTCTGACTTCCAACTTCCTCATCTATAAAATGTTATTCGCTGCCATCAAGGCAGCCCCTGACTCATGGCAACCCTATGTACAGCTGAACAAAACACTGCCCAGTCCTGCACCATCCCCATGATTGGTTTCGGTTTAGACCATTGTGATCCATAGGATTTTCTTTGGCTGATATTTTGGAAATAGATCACCAGGCCTTTCTTCCTAGTCCATCTTAGTCTGGAATCTTTGCTGCAAACTGTTCAACAGAACAGCAACTTGCAGGCTTCCACTGACAGACAGGTGGTAGCTGTGCATGTGGTGCATTCTCCAGTAGTTGAACCCGGGTTTCCTGCATGGAAAGTGATAGTTCTGCCACTGAACCAATCTATAAAATAGGGATGTTAAAATCTGCCTTGATTTACAAGGTTGTTATGTGAATCAAAGGAAATCATGGATGAAATTACCTTAGAGTATAAAGTGCCGTGTTATATCATTGGCCAGCACTGGGGATAGAGGTGGTGGCAGGGAACTAACTGTAAAATATCTATTGAATTGAATGTCTAAAGCAGGCAAATTCCTTGTTTTAGAGTCATAGTCATGCAATCATGGATATGCAGAGCAGAAAGAACCCTTAGAGATAATTTTACAGGTGAAAATACAGAGATCTAGGAAGGTTAAATTATCCACTTATATTCCACAAAAATGTTACATCAGGGTCTACACTGTAAGCCAGCCCCCTCTTTTTAGACCTGGGGTTCTTTCCAACTGAATTAGCACTGTCATGTAGGAGGACCTTTCAGAAAGTCACTAATTTGGTGATAAACATGACAGAATCAAAACAGAGAGTATTGAAGGTTGAGGTCGCTCTTACTAGGAGTACTGGACTTAATCTGGAATGGAATATATTTTATTCTAATGCCAACTACCACTCCCAGTTGCTGTCAAGTCAACTCCAACTCATGGCGACCCCATATTGGTCAAAGTAGAACTGCGCTCCACAGGGTTTTCGGTGGCTGTTTATTTGGAACTAGATCACCTGGCCTTTCTTCTGAGGCATCTCTGAGTGGACTGGAACCTCCAACCTTTCGGTTAACAGGCAAGCGCAGTAACTGTTTGCACCACTCAGGGACTCCAATTCAATGCCAAAGGGGAAAATAATTTGTCTTAAACTAAAGTATTTGTCTCTTTTGCAGATGGTTGGTGTAGGAGCTTTCTTGCAATGATGTACTAATTAATTCAGTGATTCTTCAACCAGAGTTATAACAGGGACAATGCAGTGTCAGAATATGAGTAGCTTTTGGAAACTTCTCAAGTGGCTGCCTTCCGTTTCTCATCCCTTGTTTCCCACAAAATCCTTGTAAACAGCCTGCAGCCCTACAGTTGTTGTTGTTAGGTGCCGTTGAGTTGGTTCCAACTCATAGGAACCCTATGTACAACAGAGTGGAACACTGCCTGGTCCTGCACCATCCTCACAATTTTTATGCTTGAGCCCATTGTTGTAGCCACTGCATCAGTCCATATCGTTGAGGTTCTTCCTCTTTTTGGCTGACCCTCTACTTTACCAAGCATGATGTCCTTCTTCAGGGACTGATCCCTCCTGATAACATGTCCAAAGTATGTGAGACGTAGTCTGACCATCCTTGCTTCTAAGGAGCATTCTGGTTGTACTTCTTCCAAGACAGATTTGCGGCCCTACAGTAGAATGAGAGATTTTATTAGTGGGATTGTGCTTCGCTTGTGAATGTTTGAGCAGACCAGTGTACTAGTCTTTCTGTAATAATGCTACATTGTTCCTTGTTCACAATGAAATAGTAACAGCATCAAAGCCTGGCCTTCAAAAACTGGCTCTTAGCATTAAGACCAGAGTCTTTGAAATCTAGTTAATAATAGTATCTGTGGTGTACTGAGCTTTTATTGTGTGCTAGGCACTATACTGAATTCTTTACATATGTTATAGGACTTAATCCTCAATAGCTCTATGAGGCAGGAATTTTTTTTTTTTTCGTTGTATAGAAGAAGAAAGGAAAATTGAGAAATTGGTAACTTTGCCCGTGTCACTCAGCTAGGATTCAAATTTAGGTCTGACACTAACATTCATATCCTTTCCATACTTGCCAGCCGCATCACCTCAGGCAGATCGTTTTTAACTTCTCTTAGTCTCAGACATTCTTCAACTATAAAACAGTTATCATACAAATAGCTGCTCTACCCATTGTCACAGAATTTGGGAGAATAAAATGTACAGAAACATTTTCAAACTCTAAAGTGCTATCTAAATGTTTTTTGACTGTTAATATTATTTATAAGGTACCATGTAATATGTTTGCCTGTTATTATTAATGTCGTTTATTTTAATTATAAGTATTATTCTATTTAACACTACAGATTTTCTTAAAATGAGTAAAACCAGCAGTGGTTTCTTTGGTTTTCTGCCATTACTATTTTGATAGAGATTTTGAATGGTTCACCCGGGCTTGGAGATTTCTGTGATTTGGGAAATCTCATAAGCGTTCCAATCTGATATATTTTCTAGGGATATCTTAACTTTATTCTCTAGGACCAGGTTGAACAATCTGGTGTGGTAAATGGAGGGATAAAGGCTTGATTTTTTTTTAATGTGCTCATTAAAGGCTTGTGTTAAGTACAGCTGACACACAATAACACTTAAGTTGCCAGCATGAAGCTGGTGTGGTCCTGCCAAGTGTCTGATTTAAAGTAATTACCTGAGATCAGTGATCATCCAACAGTCACAGTCACAGTCACCCCGGGCAGCTCAGACTCTTCGGTCATGCCCTGGGACCCTGTTGTGTCGCTGTCCTCCAGGGCTTGGTGTCATATATAACCACCTCTCGGTTTTATGGTGGTGCCTCTGGCGCTGTGTCATCACATGTTTCCCCACCACTTGTGCTGCATTGCAGGCGTTGCTTGAGTCCATGGTTGATGCTGCCGAGAGTCTTTGTCCAAATGTGATGAAAAAAGCCCACATCCGACAAGACCTGATTCATGCCAGCACTGAAAAGATTTCTGTTCCCCGTACCTTTGTTAAAAATGTCCTGTTGGAGCAGTCTGGAATTGATATCCTTAACAAAATTAGGTAGGTTTACGATGATAATAAACCTAACATCGCAGTTTCTGTGAATGCAGTTGAGGCCGCTGTGGATAGCGTTGTTGTTAGCTTTATCCATATATAATGTGGTTAGGCATGCCTAACAGGCATAGACACTGTATAAATATAGGTGTGCATAAATGCATAGGTTTTATACATTTCCAAAGCTAAGATGACCATGTATGCATCTGCATTGCTTGAGAGCTTTCGTTTAAGGGTTTTATTTTTAAGAGGGGGGTTTGTGTTTGTAATCCCTGTTTTCTGCTTCTGAAGTTTATCTTTTGCCTTTGAAAATCATTAACTTGAGGAATGAGATCAGTTTGCTTTTGGCTACCTCGTGTGAGCAGATGCACAGCCTATAAATAGGAGAAGAGGCCCACTCTGATGTTAGCATATTTTCCTTCTGGGTTATTTCAGTGGGTCTGTGATACTGTATATGTGTATGTAGTATTTACATAGATTTCTAGTTGAAAAAGTTTGAAAAATATGCCAAGAAATAAATACTTAGGAGCTGTGATCACCAACAGTTTTTCCTAAATTTTTACCTAGAGACTCTGGGGTGGTCACCAGCATTACATTATAGGAGCCCTGGTGGCACAGTGGTTAAGAGCTCAGCTGCTAACTAAAAGGTTGGCAGTTCAAATCCACCAGCCATTCCTTGGAAACCCAGTGGGGCTCAGCTAATTAATTCTTAATTATGTTTCTTGGTTGGGGAATCAGATGACTAAAAACCAAGTTCAAAAACATTTTAAGTTTCCCATTTTAACCATTTCTAAATCTTGGTAAGAAGTTTAGATGTAGCAAAAATACTAGCTCCTGTTCAGAGAGTTTGGGGGTGGGGGTGGTATTAACATATAATTATGAGACCAATTGACAGTCCGAAAGAAAAATGAGAGTCAAAAACAAAATAAGCCCCAAATTAGGTCAGGAATATTTGGGTATTGAATGCTGACTATGTCAAAGCTAGACGATAGAACTTTGAGGATTTAGGAATTCTGCAGTAACTGAGCTGTCTCAGGTCTAAGATGCAGCTGTCACCTTCTTCTTTTTTTTTTTTTTTTTACTTTTTTATCTTTTCCCATACAAAAATTTATACATACATTGTTATATGACTCTAATTGCTCTCCACATACTGTGACAGCACACTCCTTCTTTCCACCCCTGATTCCCCATGTCCATTCAACCAGCTCCTCACCCTCTCTGCCTTCCCATCTCACCTCCGGACAGAAGCTGCCCATTTAGTCTCTTGTACCTACTTGAGCTAAGAGGCACATTCCTCACGAGTATC